ATACTGTCACCGTAGTTCTGTCCTCCAGCTTCCTCCATTACACAGAGCAAAGCCTGTCAAGGTTTGTGTAAGGAAGCAGCAATGAATACTTCAGCAATCAGTCAGACAGTGCATGCAACTCCTGAGCACAACCCAGTTAGGCACTCAGCACACTGCAGGACACTCCTTATATGATAGAGAACTGCTACTTCCAGAATCAATTAAGAAAAAAACCCACCAACAATAGATGCCAGTGCCATGGCCCCATATAGCCCAAAGAAAGTTCTCAGGGTGCTGAAGGTGTCTCGAATCTTGCAGAAACCACAGCTACAAATGAGAACTGCAGTTCTCAAGAAATTATTCCTTGCCTTTATCTAGTCTAAAAATTTTAGCTGTCCAAAGGCTCAAAATGCAAAAGGCAAATAGAACCTGGCATATTTTAACAAAACTCGTTTTCAGAAAAAGTCCCAAACCGTTGGGGCCTGGATTTGGCACTGTGGAAACATTCCATGGGAAAAGGCTCACAGTCACATGGAGTCTGGAGAACGCAGGGAGCTCTGCATCAGGACAAATCCTGAGGCAAATGTAGCCCAGGCAGGATGGCTCAATGGAATCATAGGACGGCCTGGGCTGTGCACAGAACATGCACATGCAGGCCTTCAAACACCACTCGCTCAGTAGCTCAGGAAGAAGATTCTGAATACCGGCTCTTAAGAGAGGGAAGCCTTTAAGATCTGCAGTTTTTACCCACTGCAGAGACAGAAATGACCAAATGACCCATTCTGAGAGCTTCCTACTTCAGGACTAAGCCCAAGGAAAGGCTCTGAGCTGCCTTTGCCCACTCGCATCTGGGTTTGTTCAGGCTGCTGGGAAAAAGGAGATCCTCCAACATCTGTCATCTTCAAAACATCTTTGTTGTTTTTGGAGACACCTGAAAGAAATTCTAATAGACAAGAGTTTTACAACCCACTCTCCTTTCCAACACAAGCACTGTGATTTGAAAGCAACCCTGAGAGGTTTTTCTAGTAAATCGTCTCTTTATGAATAACAATGAGAAGTGAGCTCATCTTTCCCTAACTGGGTCATGGGACGCTTAACCACACTGTTTTTGAAGCAGTATTAAACTTTTAAGGCCATCAGATTCTCTCCTGGTGTGAGAAGCTGAGGGCTGATAGCAGCTGGGGGCTTTGAACTGAAATGCACACAGCTGGAACGTGGGGAGAAAGATGGAATGATTAATTCACATCCACAGCAACCTATAGCTGCAAACAGAAGAGGCCATGGGACTATTTGGAGACTATTTGGAGACTATTTGGAGACAATCTCAGTGCTGTGAGGCGATGGTTTTTATTTACAGCCTCCCTTAAGATCACAGTAAGAACATGTACACAACCAGTATTGGACCCTATGGCTCTGACTACATGAAGCCAGCTAATGACCAAAGTACACATGAGCTTACATCCCACGTTATTCTTTGATGTCAACAGCAGATGCTACAGCATCCAAGAAGCCACACAGTTAAAAACAAATGGGCACTGCTGTCACTTTACTCCGCTTCAGTTTCCAGATGCCTGCCTGGCCTTGAGCTTATTCCCAGCTTTCCCTGAATTGTGCTGTCTAATATCCAATATTCCTTCCTATAAATACAACATATCAATAACAAAGGAGTCTCCTGATGACAGTTCAGCAACGTCTGTAACTACACAGCAGTGTGTAGAACACATCTGTCCAGAAAGCAGACCTGGAAATGTAGCCCAGGGACCACGCTCCAGCAAACAGGACCTCAGCTTTAGCACAGTATGCAGTTCTCATTTGTAGCTGTAGGCTTCTGCAAGATTCGTGACACCTTCAAAGTGGAGAGGCCTGGGACAAACCCTACAGACCTGTACAAATCAGGTCAACCCCAGAGCTTCAGGAAGTTAATATAGGAGCCTTATTATTCTCATTTCAGTTAAGAAAAGCACTCCCAGAGGATGATCCAAATCTCAGGAGAGCTGAATCACCTTCTGGAAGCATTTATCTTCTTCTACAGACTATAAAAGGTCCTTATTAAAACACTATAACAATCCTTATTAAAACACCTTCACAAAGAACCTAAAACCAGGTCAGCTCAATCCAGGCCATTTCCTTTTGTCAGTCACTGTATACCTATGGTAACACACTGAAATCCATTCCCTACACATCACTGGTTGCCAGGAATCTCTGATAACTCGACCACACAAAAAATAATTACTTCCATGATCTGTGACACTCACCAGTTCTCCACACCTTTCCTCTGTGACACCGTTTCCTTTCCTGCCTTCACTGTCAGGTAATTCTTCAAGGCTGGAAGCTGCTGCCATGCCAGGAGTAAAATTATCTTCCCTGAGTATGCTGCTTGTTTTTAACATACCAAACTTACTTTGCTTTCCATCTGGGGTTTTTCTCTGGTAATTGGTTTTCTCCATCTGTGCTTATTTGGTGAATAAAGGATTTCTTCAGCTCTGGCTGTGATTACAAATCTACCTGGTGCATGCAATGCGTGTTGGTGAGCTGTACTGCAGTTTATTTCTTTACACTTAACACGTGCATGCCATAATCTCAATGTTGTAATGCATACACAAACCAAACCTAAGCACTACAGAATAGCACTGTGTCTTAAAACACCCTGATAATTTAAAGAGATAATGAACATGCCTGGAAGACAAACCTTTTTCTCCTATTTTCGGAGGAAATTTCTCACTCACAGGGTGGTGAGGCACTGGCACAGGCTGCCCAAGGAGGCTGTGGATGCCCCATCCCTGCAGGCATTCGAGGCCAGGCTGGATGTGGCTCTGGGCAGCCTGGGCTGCTGGTTGGTGACCTGCACACAGCAGGGGGTTGAACCTAAACGACCATTGTGGTCCTTTTCAACCCAGGCCATTCTGTGATTCTATGATCTACACAAACGGCCAGGCTGCTCACTTGATTAAAAAAGGATCAAGGCATTATTTTTACCATCTAACTTAGAAGAATGCTTCACCCTGCCCTGTTCTGGTCTTTCTGTGAATTGTAAGAGCACTTCTGGGAGACTGGCTGACCTACTGGGCTGGCTGCATTAGGCTTCATGCTTTTCATTTTTTAATGCCTGAAGTACTATTTTCACACCCACCTTTTGGAACTTAAATAGAAAATGTGTCTCTGTTTGGGCTTGTAAATTAAAGTTGTTTACTGGGGTAAATAAAGATCCAGAAACCAAAGCTTAGATCAGTATTTAGTACTGTGGAGAAGGCACAGCTCTTGTTCGTGCATTGCTAGAGAAGGATGAGCACTAATTTTGTTCAAAGATGAGTTCTGGGTGGAAGGAGATGTATCTGTATATTCCCAGTACAATTCAGTGGCAAATGGAAATGAAGAATAATTTGGGTTTTTTGATATCTGATCACTCACCTTCTGCATGAAATGTTTCCTTTTAAAATACTGATGCCTTTTTAAAAATCATTTCAAATTACATGTGGGCTTTTTCATTTGAAATAACATTTTTCATTTAAAGAAGGCAGTTGAAAATTGCATAAAGGTCAAATGGAACTTGAATTAAAGAAAAATAATTCTCAATAGATTTATGTACTGAAAATCCAAAGCAATTCTAACCTTCTTCCATTTTGACACAATAAAATGCCTGGGTTGAAAAGGAGCACAATGGTCGTTTAGGTTCAACCCCCTGCTGTGTGCAGGTCACCAACCAGCAGCCCAGGCTGCCCAGAGCCACATCCAGCCTGGCCTTGAATGCCTGCAGGGATGGGGCATCCACAGCCTCCTTGGGCAGCCTGTTCCACAAATGCTGTTGTATAAACTACCTTGAAAAGGAAGAAAGAATTTGATATTTTGTTCATAATTAATCAGCACCTGACAGTGCTTACCTTACATACAGCTCAGGTAAATGATTTGTTGTCTATCCAGGGTTTTCTCCAACCTCTCCCTGCACATCTCCCTGCTGCTTGGAGGGAACGAGCGCAGTTCTCCCCCACACCACTTTCAGCTACCACTGCAAAATATCCCTGCAGTAACTCAGAATTATGCTGAACGTGTGAACTGATAAACTATGCTTGAAGGAGTTAATGTAAACTTTTGCCCCATTTGCTGAAGGAAAAGTCTGGCACAAAATCTGCATCCAGGAAATAATTATCCAGGAGTTTTCATGTTTTATGCCTGATGCTTTTGGTCAGGACAACGTCTGCTCTCTGCTTACAGTCACACACTGCTATCTGCAATTAGCACAAGTCTTTTGCTCAGGCAGCAGCACAGCAAGCAGCTTTACTTCTGAGCTTCGTAGTCACAGTGAATTACAGACTCCCAAAAGCTATCAGACTACACTTGCATCACACTGTGCATGGTTGTAGTCTCATGAGTCAGCATGCAACTTTATCAAATGATATCTGTGCTTCCAGTGATAACAGCCAATTATCTTCACATACATATTTACATTTTTTGTGTTCTATCTTGTTCTACTTCATTTTCCCTACCCGTCCATATACATGAGAAATTGGTTGTGTGGGCCAGATGTGAGGATAGATGACACGTAAGTCTAGAACAAAAAGAGGAGACAAAAAACCAATTTGAGCTATGGCAAATCAGCTTTGCAACACTTAAAAACCACTCAGTAGATTTCTGTAGTAACACTAGTAATACTTTCTGAACTCTAGCTGTACCCATAAACATTAGTGACAGCCCTAAAAATGAAGGTTGCAGCTGAGACTGAGCTAGTGCTTGAAATATGGAGTAGCTGCATTCACCTGCATAGAGGGGAAGACTTGTAATGAAGAAACATTTCTCTTGGAGAAGATGTTTAGTGATCAGTCCTTGCACAGCACTGAAACGCTGCAGCAGGTGTGTGCTTAAGCTCTTTATCCCACAGGAGAAGGCAGAAAGTCCAACTGATATTGCAAACCTAAATGCAAAGCAGCAGATGTATATCTCACATTTGACATAATTTAGAAGTCAAAGCAGCCAGAACGTGTAACTGTCAACTGAACCTCCAACCTATTTTTCTTAATTTTATTCAGCAAGTGCCATTCTAGAAGGAGAAGAAAGTGCAACAATCGATTTCAAAGACAGAAATGACACAGAGTTTGAGGAGTTACCGACGCTGGTGAGTAGAAGTCCAAGGAAAGGCTCCTTTCTGTTACTCAGATCTCACAATCTGCTTTTATCTCCTTGCTTAGATTTTAAACCATCATAAATCACAGAGAACAGCTCTGAGTTTGAAAAATCAAGACCACGTGCTAATGCTTTTGCTTTGCAAGCAATTAGGTTGAAGGTGACAGTGCTCAAAGCATTTTTGGCAGTACATCTGTGCTGCCTCTTTGCTGCCATTTGCCTCTTCTAGCTCTTTCTCTCTCTCCAAACTGACAAACTAACAAAAAAACCAACAAACCCAGAAAGATCAGACAGGTCTGCAACCTTCTGCATCCTGTCCTGCACTTCTGTAGTCCTGCTGGGAATTCATCTGATCTACCAAAGCCTTTATAGCAGGGAAGAGCAATCAGCTGACAGATCGAGAGCTGTAAATGCTTACCTTCATACACTGAACATACTGAGGTTTTCTTTCCCCTCTGTTTTCTCCCCAAACTCTTTTAGCTGCCCACAAGACTACAGAGTGTAACAAATCTCTTGCAGTTTGGAAGACTAATGACCACAGAAAGTGCATTTGACGTGCCTGAAGAAAATGATAACGCCACGTATTATGAAGTTAGCACTGAAACCGCTGACGGTAAAACAGTCTTCCATTTTCCATTTTAATATATCACAATCTTATACTATTTACTAAATACAATATCTGGAAAATTCAAATACCAAAATTAAGCTGCTCTTGAGTACGAACTCAATTCCAGAAGTAGAGAACTGTACTAAACACATCTTCTGTAAGTTTCCATGCAGAAAAACGACGTAATCGGATCTGACTTAAATGCCTCTGTTACACATTACAGCAGTCATTCCTGTAGATCTTAGCTTATCTTTCTATAGTTTCAAAGAGCTCTTTGCATTCACTCTTGAGCGTTTTAGTTTCTCATTACTTATCAAAAAACAACCTATTACACAGCTCTGTACCACTGTGTTAACAGTCAGTAAAAGTTTTCCTTAGACACAGTGCAGTAAATTGGGATGCAGAACTTGGTATAAAGCCCCTCAGTAATTATTCTTTCTTATTTTACAGGTGGACTGAATGGGGAACAGACAGAGAAAACTGAAAAAGGTATTAAACCAAAGACAAGGGAGATCTTAAGTGCCAGGTGATACCAAGTGCTGGGTCCTGCACTTTGGCCACAACAACCCCAGGCATTGCTATGGTTGTGGGGCAGAGTGGCTGGAAGATTGCATGGAGAAATGGACCTGGGGGTGTTGGCACAACAGGAGCCAGCAGTGTGCCCAGGTGGCCAGAAGGCCATCAGCTTCCTGGCTTCTATCAGCAGCAGGAGGTGATCATCCCTCTGTGCTGTGGGCAGTGTTGGGTCCCTCACTACAACACAAACATGGAGGCCTTGGTGTGCAGAGGAGGGAATGGAGCTGTGAGGGGTCTTGTGGTCTACACAGATCACAGTATGCATGGCTTTGCAGGTCTCAGTACACAGAACTTGTACTTCTACACAGTACACACTTGTACACAGACCAGCTTGGTGACTTCAGCATGTTTGCACAGAGGCTAAAAAAAATCCAAGCAAACAAAAATACCCCACAAAGCTGCTGAAATTACCAGGCTTACCTGAGAGCTCCCATCACAGAAGGAAATCCTCCCAGAAATTCATCACAAACGTGTCAGTTCTATCACTGATCTCCATTATCAATGATCTTCATGAAAAACATGCCAACAAACCCAATTTCTTCTTTCAGGTGGCCTGGAAACAATTGCACTCGTTGGAATAATAGTTGGAATCATAGTAGCTGTTGGAATCCTTGCTGGAATCATAATTGCTGTTGTAAGGAAGATGTCAGGCAGGTACTCGTAAGTAAATTGCTCATCAGGCTTTTCAAACAGCAGCATCCCCTGAGTGAGGTCACAGGAATCCCTTCTGAAATGTCTAATACTTCCAGTTTGCCAAAAGTCACCCCTGCCACAAGAGCTGCCAACGCTGTGAGCGCTTCAAATCCCTTCTCAGACAGTGGAAACACTGCAGGCACAGTGCCCTAATACTCATCACATGCATGGCTTTTGGGTCAGCCTACAGGTATAGGGGATACTGAAGTTCTGGGGGTGTTGGATAACATGTGAACACTGCCCAGTGATCTTTATCTCTGGATGTTTGTGGAAGTGTACTGAGGAGTAGTGTTGGTGCCACTCCATCTAAAAATGCTTTACAAACTCCCAAATAGCTATAAAACCACGCTGCATTTTAACAAACAGAATTCCCTCAGCGGGCAGTAAACAAACACTTCCAGGAATAGGGGCAGGAGAAACAAAAATATGAGCTGGGAAGAAAAATAAAGAGGTGAAGGAAAGATGGGAAGAGAGAGGAAAAGAGTTCACATGATGACATTTGGGTAAATTGATGAAATATAGAAAGATGTCACGTTCTCTTGTTTTGTTTGACAGGCCCTGAAAGGAGTTGAAACAAGTAACCATGCCATTCCATGTCAGTACACACAAGTGCTTCTTACTTCAGAAGAACTAAAGACTATTCCTGTATCAGTGTGAGAAGATGATCCATGGAAGATGTAGTGGAACAGTTCCACATCTATGGGGATCCCACACAGCTCTCCCAAAGACTTTCCTTTTTTAAAAACAGACTGCAGAGCATGGAACATTTGCTTAGGATTTTTGCTAATCCCAGAGGAACAAAAAAAAATTATCCTACAGGAAAAAGCTCCAGTAGCAATGACATTTACATCTGAAAAATGATGTGCAGGTAACGTATGCTAGCTTCATTTTAAATGCTGCTGGCAAAGATTATTTCACATCACATCACATAGTATGCATTTCTTTTCCCAAAATCTTTTAAGTGTTTTGGCTGGTTAAGTGCTTGTGGCATGTTCATCTACTGAATTAGCAAGGTAGGACATTTCTTATCAGAAAGGAGGTATTGCTTCAGATATTGCTACTGATTTTCTGCTCAATGCTTACATTACCATGTGGCAAAGTATAATAGGTCCAGCTGGAACTGACCTACCAACTAAAAGCTTGTGCATTTGACTTGCATCAAGAATTTCCTGTCTCCTCTAGTTGCAGAGACACAAGGATTGGAATACACATCCTGAATTAAAGGGTGCTTGGAAAATACCCAGTTTTGATGGGTCACTTTAACCAGTTATTCAGCACGCTTTAGAGCTGACGTGCAAAGGCTTTTGAATTCATGTATTCACGTTTTTCTTTATAAGTGTCTTTTTCTAACAGCCTGCTTGATCACATGCATGACAGACTAAATCAGAGCATGTTAGTGACATGTAGTGCATCCTTGGACTCTGCAGCTTTCTACTATGGCACATTAAGTGCAGCAGTATCTGAACACGAGGAGTTCAGAGTGAAAGCTTTGTATGCCAGATGGCTGCAGTGCATTGTGTTTTCTAAACTAAAGCATCAAACGTTTGGTGTAAAAATCTTCCATTTCATATGGTTGACATGTATTAAACAAGTCAATTTACATAGATTTACATGTGTTTTGCTGTTTCTTCTTTGTGTCATGAACTTTCCCATCTATCTGATCCCTGGAAAGAAAATGCAAGTTATGCCATGTTTCAGACTAATTGTTCTCTGTTTTTCAAAAATAACCTGAGAAAAAAGTCATTTAGAGGTCTTTGTGTGCAGTTCTTAGCACTCGTGAGTCTGCAATGACTGCCAAGTTTGTACACAGCAACAGAAGGGAAAAATTAAGATGAGAGAGTAGTAAATATCCCAATTGAGCAACATAAATGTTGACTACATCTTGAAAGCCTTCACTTGGATCTTGCTTGCTTGAGCTTTAGTGAGCTTTGTCTTCCTACTGGTCTACATGAAAAATTACTCTCTAGATCCAAAAGCTGTGATTTCTAGAAATGGGTGTTTTTCTGTGTCATTTATTATAAAAAAAAACCACACTTTTTCCTGACATCTGAGTTCAGACTTCCCTTTAATCTCATAACTCAAGTATATATGTATGCATGGTTTTGGTTCATAGCTTGCTGTCAGCAACAGCAGTCACCTCCAAACTGCCAACGTTACTCTCGGTAACACTGGAAACAGTCATTCTGTTCCTTACCCAGGGAGATTCTAATGTAAAGTTCTCCACAAGAACGAGTTCCCCTTGAATAAACTGTTCCCATCACATCCAGGCAGGCAATTCATAATGAAATGGAAACATACTTCAACTTGTTTTCAAAGTCTGCTCTGATAAAACATGACTGAGGTTATTATGCATAGAGTGAGACTACAGAGTAGGCATGCAGACACACGAGATGCCACTGACTTGAAAGAAAGTCATATATTTACATTTCCATGCTGATCCCCTGTAGTTAAATCTCAGATACCAAAGCATATCCATCCCAGAATGTGTCCACAGTTATACAGTACCATGGAATAATGCATCCACGTGTCACCTCCAGCTTAATCTCATTTGGCTTAGCTCTGCTTACACTCAAAAGCAGAGTACAACTAAAATGAAAGGAAAATTAATGATACCACTGTACAAAGTCATGTGTTTACTATATGAGAGTCTATCACAGGTTTAAGCCTGGTGTATACCTAATGTCAGTTCTTTAATGCTGAATTAGTATGGGGCATTTTTGAAGTATGTCATCCTGGCCCCAAAAGTGGGCTGCAGATTTTTGTTATGGTTACTGAAGACAAGGCACTTCACTTCAACTTTGTTAAAAGGCACCTAGCTTGTGTCAATACACTTTTTATCTGTGACTCATACTTTCTGTAGCATTAGTCTTGAAAAGAAGTCATGTAGTTTATCCAATCATTTCTGAAAGCTCTAATGTATTACATCAGCTACCTTTCAAGCAAAGTGAGGCCACAGGCTCTTACAGATTAGCACATGAGATTCCATCCCTGAAATACAATTCACACATGCCTAGATGCACTTTCCAATTTGGCTCAGTTAAAGATATTGTGTTAGCTAGAAAGAGTCACCTTTCACACAAGTGGTGGAGTCTCCTTCTCTGGAGATGTTCAAGACCTGCCTGGATGCTGACCTGTGCGACCTGCTGTAGGGAACCTGCTTTGGAGGGGGTTGGACTCGATGATCTCTGGAGGTCCCTTCCAACTCCTACAGTTCTGTGACTCTGTGATTCTGTGAACTCTTGCTTCAGTTTCCCTCTGTACTTTCACATTATGGTACAGAAAGGTGCCCAGATTACTTGAAGTATTTTGTTTCCATGTCCATACGTAGACTGCTTTTTGAGTGAGAAAAAAGATCAATTATACACAAAACTTATCAGTTTGCTTGTCTGACTTGTATGAATTAGCTAACAGGTTTAAACTCACGTAAAAGCAGTAATATTACAGGAGAGAACAGTATTTTCAGTTACTTCAGATTTGACAGTATCTTGCCTATACTGGAAGGTCCCCTGCAGGATGCACTTGATGCTTGAACAAAAGCATGCCATATGGAATTATGAATTATCCAACCATTGTAAGGAATAGCACATATGGCAGCACTTCCTCCTGCACCAGCTCAGTTGCTTCTAAATTGCAAATACCACCAAATGGAAAAAAAAAACCCAAAACACCTTATTGTGTAAGTTCTGGACATTTGTTAAGCCAGGGGTAAGACCCCATTTGAAAAAGGCATAAGATTAGAGCAGATAAATTCTATGGCAAAGGGAGCTCTCCTTGATCAAATACAGAACTCCAGCTAACAGCCTGCATGCCAACCATGTAAGCCACGTTTTGCTCCTGCTCCAAAATTTCTCATTAAGATCCACTTTAACTTCATATATTGACTATTAAAGTCTCTTGGTCTTAACCAGGACTTCAGATCCTGCCCTTTGGTTCAAAGTAAAGCTTTATTAATCTTAGGAGACACCAACTGCTACCAGATGGCCCCTGCTCCACTGAAATATAACCTGGAAGGCTTCCAGCACTGGAGGCTTGGTATTAAGTACACTGTGCTGTGATAGATCTGAACCTATAAAGACATGGGGACGTGAAGTTCCCAGACTGAGCTGGAGCACAGGGTACCCAGGATATGGCTTAGAGAAGGCAGGAGCTCTGAAGATCCACCATTTCCTTTATTCTGCCAGTGTGAAGAAACAATAACTGCTGCTGCATTACTTCTAGTAGGAGCTATGTGGGGGGTTTTGTGTGTGTGTTTTGGAGGAGGATAGATGTAGTTGGGCTTTTTTTTCTGCTTTGGAAGAAGTCAAACAGCACATTGTCCAGGGGCAAATACTTCAGTGAGCTGAAATGAATGAGCAGTATACATGTCTGCAGGATGGGGTCTGAGGTCAGGAGACTTCCTATGAATGTGAGCACATCAGGAAACAACAGCTCCATACTTTGTCCAGCTGGCCAGGTTAGAATTTTTATCCACCAGGAATAGCATTCAATATATCAACACTTGCTGTTAACCTAAAATCCTTACTCCTGATCATGTTCATTCCTTTATGGTTAGTAACAGCAACGTTCCCTTTTGCAGCTTGGCAGCGAGTCATGAATGTGGCTCTTCTGAACAGACAAGCAGGCACCAGGCTTCCTGTGAGAATGCCAGATGTCACTAAAAAGCATCATAAACATAGTTGTCCCCTTGTATTTGGGTGTGTGATGAAGATATATAGAGGTAATATATGGTGAAAGTAATGACTTGATGAATATTTATGACTCTAGGTATGAGTAGAATGATTCACACAAGCATTCTTCATAAGGAATGTTTTCATTCTAAGAATGGAAGACATCAGAAGAATGAATTCAGTAACTAGAGACAGCCAAACATTCACCAGAAAAATATTATGGAGATCGTAAACTACTCCCATGATTTTTAGAAGCCTTCACTAATAGTTAAAACACCAATTAAAACACGCAGCAATTGTTGCTTCAGATTCATTCTGTATTTTAAGGGTATCTGCAGTATGATGCTGCAGGTATCTCAGCTGCACGCTACTTCAGCCGTGCATTAAGAACTACAACAACTGCACAGCAACGCCTTCTTCAAACTGAAAAGAACTGATGTATCATCCACAAGAGAAAGGTAAGCAGCCACAGGGTATGATGTACACACTAATGACTTGCCAAGGATAATAACCATGGTTAAGGGAAAAGCCATCAGCACACGAATCTTTACATGTTAATCCTGACACAGCTTTGTATTACTTCAGGTAAAGCGATGTTCCATCATGCTTTATGATAACATTATGTTCTTTAATATAAGATAGTAACAAAGAGCACAGGAAAAAAGACAATAATCAAATGTACCAGGAGCCCTCGGGTCTGGAATGCACTCAAGATTAACGTTTCAGATGAAACACTGCTCCACCTAAAGCAATCTCTCCTGTACCACCTATAGTTCTGTAGTGTAAGTACTACAGAAGCAATTAGCCTATGCCATGCCTGGAGACACTGTGATAACCATTTATGCTCACCTACTTAACTAAATTAAGTATTAGATTGGCCATAAGCATAGTTTCTCGGGCAGTTTTTAATCTGAATTGTTATCACTAACATCAAATTTCCCAGCATCTGGTTTTGCTGGGTGGCTGCTGATGGTACAGAAGGTAACACTGGATGTGCAACTTGATAGTAGGTGCTCTAAGAGGTTTGAATTGGTGCTTTGTACATTCTCACAGCTGCAGCGTGGAGGCATTGCTGCACAAATAAACCCAGCACCACGCTGGCCGTGTGTCTTTGTCTAGGCCATGTGGATTTAGGCATCAGACCAAACCCACAGCCCCCCTGCTTTCTATCAAACAGTTGGACGATGCCACAAAGGTTCCTGTGCAATCACATGGCTTGTTAGGCTTTTCCAGCCTGGAGAGGTCAGATTTCGAGACTGGCAAATGCTGCAGCAGTGAGCATTCTGGTCAGCAAGGTGTGCTGTGTATTCCATGCATTTTCAAGGCTGTGCTTCCAGAAAGCATTTGGCAAAGGTGATTGATTTTGAGAGTTCAAAACCAAGCAGCACCATCCAGAGAAGCAGAAAATGGAAGGAACAGAGAAGGTACAGCAAAACTGGCATCAGTCAGGTTTAATTATTCAAACAGAAGATAATCCAGTGGCTGCAGCAGCATTATGAACAGGCAGCCTTTGCTTTATCAGTAAATAGCAAAAGCATTTAGGTAGTGTAAACTGCTGCTTCAAGTTACCTCCATGGTTCAGAGTGAGACTTCATCTGAGGAAACTACCCTTGGCACCAACGTCAATCTTTTTTGAGAGGCAAAATTATTAATGAGATCATGAGAACACGTTGTTATTAACTACAATTTACATGAAGGCAAAGCCTGCCATCTGTTCATTTAGAACTGGAAGTTCTGGGTTTCAGAAATGCTTGACTAATTATGAACTTACTTCTTGAGAATAGCTTTCCCCATGGATTTTTCTAGTTCATTTCCTCATCATTAATAATTAGCTCAATTCCACAATAAGTATGCTTGATTAACTGAGCAGAAAGCAATAGAAGCATCTGAGAGTATAAAGCATACCTGCATTTCAAGCAGAAAACTGAGCAAGAACTGC